TGTAGTCTTCGAAATTTCATTTTCACATCCGAGCCACATCTTCACCTCTGGATACAATTCATTCAGTGCCAGTTCCTTCTTTACAAAAATATCATGTCTTCTCAACGGATACAGTGCGACCAGCAAAAAGCCAAAGAATCTTAAATGCTTCCTTCTCGCCAGATTAAATAAATCCAGTATGAAGACATGAAAAACGTTGAAATGGCCACATTCCAAGGACCTCTTGTCTGAATAAAATAAATTGAGATGTATTCACCCAATTTCGTTTAAGCTGATGAAGGACTGGTAGAAGAAGAATTTTCCCACAATGCTATGAGTAGAGCTGACGTTTCCATTCAATTTCACATAGTCTTGCATTCTCAAAAGTTGTTCTCATCCAGGCACGAGTCGACTGCAGTTTCGACCTGGCATCAACTGGTCTTATAAAGAGATGTATTCACCCTATTTCGTGTAAGGTGATGAGGTAGTAGAATTTTCCCACAATGATATGAGTTGAGCTGACGTTTCCATTGAATTTCACATAGCCTTGCTTTTCTTCGAAACTACCAGTAAATCAGTAATATGAGATGTATTCACCCTATTTCGTTTAAGGTGATGAAGGACTGGCCTGAGTCAAGAAAACTCCTTTATGTTATGAGATGTATTCCCCCTATTTCGTCTAAGGTGATGAAGGACTGGTTAGAGGCTACCAGTAAATCAGTGTAATGAGATGTATTCACCCTATTTCGTGTAAGGTGATGAAGGACTGGTATTATTTCCATTGAATTTCACATAATGAGATGTATTCACCCTATTTCGTCTAAGGTGATGAAGGACTGGTAGTCGAAACTACCAGTAAATCAGTGTAATGAGATGTATTCACCCTATTTCGTGTAAGGTGATGAAGGACTGGTAGTATGATTTTCCCACAACAATGATATGAGTTGAGCTGACGTTTCCATTGAATTTCACATAGCCTTGCTTTCCCAAAAGTTGTTTTCAACCTTGCTTTAATCAGTAATACGAGATGTATTCACCCAATTTCGTTTTAGGTGATGGAGGACTGGTAGAAGAAGAAATTTGCCACGAATTGATATGAGTTGAGCTGACGTTTTCATTGAATTTCACATAGCCTTGCTTTCCCAAAAGTTGTTCTCATCCAGGACTGGGGTGGACTGCAGTTTCGACCTCGCATTGGTCTTATCAACACCCTCAGCGGGATTCGAACCGCGAAAGTGCAGTACGGTAGGTACTTGCAGTTTCGACCTCGCATCGGTCTTATCAACACCCTCAGCGGGAGTCGAACCGCGACAGTGCAGGATGGGAGCTTGGTTTCCATTGAATTTTCACATAGCCTTGCTTTCCCAAAAGTTGTTCTCATCCTGGGTGGACTGCAGTTTCGACTTCCATTCAATTTCACATAGCCTTGCTTTCCCAAAAGTTGTTCTCATCCTGGGTGGACTGCAGTTTCGACCTATCATTGAATTTCACATAGCCTTGCTTTCCCAAAAGTTGTTCTCATCCAGGGTGGACTGCAGTTTCGACCTCAATCGGTCTTATCAACACCCTCAGCGGGATTCGAACCGCGACAGTGCAGGACGGTAGCTTGACACGCTATTGGGAAAGCAATACTATATGAAATTCAATGGAAACGTCAGCTCAACTCATATCATTGTGGGAAAATTCTACTTGCAAGGCTATGTGAAATTCAATGGAAAAAGTCAGCTTAACTCATATCATTGTGGGAAAATTCTACTACCATTCCCTTAATGTGAAAATTCAATGGAAAAGTCAGCTAAACTCATATCATTGTGGGACAATTCTACTACCAGTCCTTCATCAACTTACACGAAATAGGGTGAATACATCTCATTACACTGATTTACTGGTAGTCTCGAAACCCTACTCTAATACGAAAATGGTCTCATAAATACCCCCAGCGGGAGTCGAACCGCGACAGTGCAAGATAAGAGCTTGACACGCTAACCACTCGGCCACACTGCCACGAGCACCTTTTTGGTCACTTGGTAATGTGAATTTTCAAAGAAGGCCAGGCCTTTTTGCCATATCATATCCTTTTTGGTGGAATTGTCGAAGAAGCAAACGTATGTTTTGCTATAAAAATCGACTAGTATACCTTATTTTTCGCATTAAGTAATGCTTCAAGACTACAAGTAAATCAGTAATATGAGATGTATTTAATGGAAGCGTCAGCTTAACACATATCATTGTGGGAAAATTCTTCTTTTACCAGTCGTT